TTATGATGACACACAGGGTGGAACTCACTTTTCTAATTTCTGGGCTTTGATGTCTTCCAGTCATCCAGGTGGCCAAAGGATCATATCAAGGGCAACTAAGCAATATCTTAATATGGCCAGATTAGAAAATGACTGCAGTGAGAAGGCTTGCGGCAGGACAGGCAGTTCCAGACATCTGGAAAATTTTTTCCACAGCAAGTGCTTTAATGAGACTATGCAATGTGACAGGGAAAGGCTGTGCTGACCAGGAAGCTTAATTCTCCTGTGTTTCTCTTAGGAACAATTATCATTGTATAATTGAGCAGTGTGGGGGAGATTTGTATGGGGTCTTTTTTGTTTTGTTTTATGTTTTCTGGATTATTCCCAAGCATGGCTTCCCTCTTGAGATCCAGTTATACCCCAAGAGGTTCTACATTCTGCAAATAATCATTTTAGTATTAGATTATTGATATTAGTTTATCTATATATGACTGCTTGGGTTTTACTTTTGGAAGGGTACCCTGCTTTCAAATAGTGTTCAATTATCTCCAAAGCAGTATTGTGAAATTGCAAGCTTATCACCTATTTTATATTTTCATAACATTTATATGTTCATTTACTTATTGGGGCAGGGCATGTGCATGCTAGAGCTTACATGTGAAATCAGAGGACAACTCAAAGGAATTAGTTCTCTCCATATTGGGTCCTGGGACTCAAACTTAGGCCATCAGCCTTGGCAGCAAGCTCCTTTACCCACTGAACTATCTACTGGCCTATATTTTTTACTATGAGCATCAACATTTCAATCTGGACTTATTTGGAAGCTGGTTGCATCATCATAGTAGCAAGGCTTGAAAGGTTATAGTGACAGTTGGGGCTGAGGAAATGACTCTGTTGGTAAAATGTTTTCCATGGAAGCATAAGGGCCTAAGTTCAGACTCTTAGTATCTATGTAAAAAGTTAGGCATGACACATTTTGTCTGTAACTCAAGTACTGGAGAGGCAGGATGAAGCAGATCTCTGTGAATAATTAGCCTACCAGTCCAGCTAATCAGTAAATATCAGGTTCAGTGAGAGAACTCATCTCATGGAACACCATGAAGTGCAATCAAAGACACTGAATGTTAACTTCTGGCCTCCACAAACACACACACATGCATGCACATGTGTACATATCCATACCAATATGCACATATACCATATATACATACAGGTGCACAAAACAAAATTAAACATTCTTTTCTTAATGTATATTTTTATTGCACATTTGTGCACTTCACACAAAACATCTTAATCATCTTACAGCCCTTCCCCCATCCTCACCATCCATAACCCCTCTACACCAGATTTCATGCATTCTGTCATTTATGTTAAGACCTATCTAGTCAAATTCATGTACCCAGATGGTCCTCAGTGCAAGTTCAATAACTGGAGTCTAGTCAGCCTATCTAGAGCCTCTCCTTTAAAGAAGATCAACTCTCCCTCGCCCAGCAGCAATCAGCTGCCAATAGTTCTTCAACTAAAGTTGGGACCTGATGTACATTTCCCCAGATCTATGCTGGGTTTCTGTCTAATTGAGTCAATATGTGGGTTACAGGTGAACTACAAGTGCTATTTCAGGAACTGTTCTTAATAGCTGGTTTCATAAAGTACCCTTAATTTCTTGCATTTTACTCATGGCTGAAAATTTTCACCTAACACACCAAGATATTTACAGAAGACTACAAACAAGAATCAGATTCATTCCTCCAGTCCCATGACTCCAGTGTCTTGCTCTCGTATGCTGTGGAGCAGCACAAAGACCCTCAGGATAGCCCATTTCCTCAAAAGGCTCAGTCTGTGTGTACAGAACCTTAAGCCGTCTTTTCAGTTTGTTCAGACTTTTTGAAAATTATGTGTCTAAAGTTTACTTTTCTTGTTTCATGATTATTAAAAAGGTAATTGTGCTGCTGGGGCAAAAACGACAGTTTCCTCTTTCACCTGCCTAAATTGCATTAATACCAGTGTGGAGCACTCCAAAGTGTTCCTTTATATATGCCTCTGTAGTAGGAGGAAGTCACAACAGATGAGTCATACTCGACTTTTTCAAAGAATATGTGTGTGTGTGTGTGTGTGTGTGTGTGTGTGTGTGTGTGTGTGCCCACATATATGAGCCCTAGTGAGACTCACGTTATCAAGATTAACGTAAACGAGTCAGGGCATAGTGATGAACAGAAAATTATCATAGATCTTGAAAGAAAATTCATTTTCACATGTAACAAGATTTAAAATTCTAAGATCATAGTAGCTTCAAATCAATGTATTCAAATAAAGAAAGAAAAGAAAACCACAAATAACTTGTCACACACACACACACACAAGTATAAATTAAAGTAGGAGATGCTTTTACTTAAAGGCAAATCCAAACTGCGCCATTTAGATGTGTGACTTTGAGCATGAAGATTGTCTTTACTCAGAGAAATGAATATTTGTCTCACAGTATTGTTACAAGGGTAACATTAGCTACCTTAGTAGGGTAACATTAGTGTGCAAGGGTAACATTAGCTACCTTAGTAGGGTAACATTAGTGTGCAGAAGGCATGGCATAGGACTTGGCAAAGAATAGATAACTAATGAAAGCAAACTTCTATTATTATTATTGTCATCTATGCCTCTTCCGCATATACCACATGCATGAACTCAAGATGTTTGCAGTTTAGAATTCGGCTATGAGACAGCTGATATCCTGACTCAGCGGAATCCAGCCTTAGTGGTATAAGTTTAAATACAGAGGTGTAGAATTAAAGGACATGTATCTATCTATCATCTGTCTACCTACCTACCTGTATCTCTTTCATATATATTGTAATTTTAGGGTAAAAGGAGGGTAATTAGGTAACTGCAGTGGTAAAATACACCACCTTAACCATGCATGTATTTGTAAATCCCTACCAGTTAATGTGTATTTGATTGTACTAGTACTGAAATTAATCTAGCATATTCTCTGTCCTTGTTCACCTTGTTACCTAGAATGTCTCCTGTTTTAAACTGTTGAAGTTGAGACTTGAGTAGTGGCGCATACCTTTATTTCCAGCACTTGGGAGGCAGAGGCAGAGAGATCTCTGCATTCAAGGCCAACCTGGTCTGTATAGTGAGTTCCATGATATCCAGGGCTATATTGTGAGGCCCTGCTTTGAAGAAACAAAAATAAACAGAAAGAAAATGTAATTTGGTGAAATCGTATTATTCATTTCTTCAGGCTATGCCTTTCATAGTGCAGCCCTGCCCTTCCCTGATCCCTGAGTAAGCAGAACTCACAGCAGCTTCTGGTACTTTGACTATTGACTCATATTTGCATAATTATATCAATTAGATTGCAAATCCCCAAAAGTTGCCTTTATTGTATCTGTCCACCTAAAGCACAATTCTGGGCTTAAAATAAACAATATTTGTTAATTGTAATTTTATAGACGAGATCATTAGTACACAAAACATTTTTTTAAACATCCCCACAGGGGCAAGCAAATAAAGTGAGAAAATAAATTGATAAATCAGGTAGAATTTTGAAGAGAATTCAATTAGTTTCAAAGACAGATGAGTTGTATGTCCACCGTCTTTTTCACTGATATAATGAGGGGGAAGAAATGACAGTAAATGTGAAAGCATGGGCCCATTGCATCACAGCACTGCACAGTCTCTGTAATATAATTGCAGAGAGGTGTGTTCCCAGTCCCCAAAGAGACCTGGGGAAGTCCTGGGAGTGGAGGAGGGCATCAAGCTGTAGAGCACAGCCTGCCCTCCAGGAACAGACAGAAACTCATAAATAGAAGTATTCCAGGGAGTCAGGATTTCCTGGGGGGCGAAAATTAGTGTGAGAAGCCAGTACTGTGCAATTCCAGTTTTAAAAACAGCCAGTATTGTTAAGGCTGCTGTGTGCAGGAGAGCAAAAGAAAAGTCCTTTTTAGTATTTGTGTCAGCTTTCATGTTATTACAGAAACTACACTGAAATTCTTCCCTGGCAAATACTACATAGGCTGTAAGGTTTATATTGCTTGAAATCACTTTTCAGTCCTTCCAGTGACAAAGTTTTAGGGGATGAGGTATTCTGTCCCTTTATATCAAGTCAGTTGTGACTAAAGGACAACTGCCTCCTTCATTTAGGACTGGAGCTGTGCCTCTCGTCTATTTCAGCTCCTCGTTTGCCTAATTGTGCTGCTAGGCTGGCACAGACTTGCCCTGCAGCCGCAGCTCTGCTGACTGCAGGGACCCTACCTGCCACTCTAAGTTGGTGCGTCAGCACTTTAGGCTAGAATGAATGAAAAAAATCAATCACTATGACTGCAGCGGTGACATCCACAATCCTAACCTAGTTTGTCCATAATTTTCAACTATTCACCATAGACCAAGCAGTGTCTTAAGATGGTAAGTGAATCTGTAACAAATGTGCTACTTCTGCTTAATCGGTTTTTATTATTTATTTATTTATTTATTATTTATTTATTTTATTTTTTGTCCTCTTTTCTATTTAGAACAAGCAAATCTAATCTGCTTAGGGAACCACATGTAAATGATCATGTCAAGTTTCACGCAAATGTCTTCATGTGCTCCTGTTTAAGATTCAGCTCCTAATTAGGCTGGGTGATAAATATTCATAAATAGATGTATCAATCTGCTGTTATACTAACTTATACTCCAAACTCAAAGGGTTAGTTCTTTATGTGTCTGTTTGGCTCCTTGCTACATCTTTTTCTAATTTGCTATATTTCCTTATGTCAAAAATACAGCTTTAAAAAAAATTCTAGATTTACAATTCTGCAAAGACAGAGTTAAACACTGTTTGGACTCTGGCTGTTCAAAAGGAACTGAAATTGTTCAAAGCTGCCGTCGTCGGCTCTCCAAGGCAGCTACAGTAACTTCTGAACAGATTGGGTTAAATATTTTTACAGACCCATTCTACGATGATAAGGGGGTAATAAGTTGTGCAGTGCAACACTCCAAAGGGTTCCAAATTTCACAAGCCTCTTTGTATGTGATCCTCACAGTGAGGAAGAGTCTGAGCTACAAAGATGAAGAGTCTACTTCTTCTGGTGCTGATTTCAATCTGTTGGGCTGATCATTTTTCAGAAAACTACTCTCTGGATCATGACAGAGTTATCCACATTCAAGGTAAGAAAACACAAGTTCTCAAATGAGCAAAAAATTAATTTCCAATTACAGCTGAGAGCTAGCTTACTGTTTGTTCATTTTAGGTCTGCTGCATTAACTTTTTCTTTCCCTTTCTGCTAATTAGTGAACATGATTCTGGCTTTTGGATACGAATGTACTAGGGGAACGTTATGCGTGGGGCACAATTAAAGTTGGACATCTTAAGAATGTCCATCTACAGTGAGTAATGCAGTGAACTTTTAGTGCTTTTTAGTGAAGTTGCGATCTTCAAGTTGAAGTTGCTATCTTCAAGGAGAGCACGAAGTTCATATGAATTCAAGGTGGAGGGAAGAAATACGAAGCGAAACTCAGGATGTAAGGTCATGTTGTTACAAGAACTGTTTAATGACTAACAGAAACAATGCAAATAAGGTGAAAATCAAACAAACTATGATCCAGGAAAGAGCAGCTCACCCTATTCTACTTTCGCTATGAGGCTTTAGTTCCCACGAACCAATATATTGAAACTATATGTTTCTGTTGAGCTCAGCTGAATCCTTAGCCAGACAGCGTGGCAGGGCTGGGAGGCTGCAGTATAATGCAGCTCTTTCCTCAGCGGGAGCTTTGGATGAGGGACATCCTGCAATAGAAAGCTAAGTGACTCATGCAGTAAGGAAGGGCAGTCCAGGGCACTGTAGCTTCTCACATGCCCTTGGATACTAAATAATCCGAATAAGAATTACAATTTTTAACAGTTTAAACATATGACATTACTAATTTGAGATAAACTCAGTTTGGGAACCAAAGATATTATGTTTGCTGAAAGATATACCAAGTTATGCTTTCAAGGTCAAAAGTGCAGTCTCAGAAAACTGCATTCACTGTTGAAAACTATGTCTTCTAAAGGTCATTTTATTAGTGTAAATCTAGTAGAAAGATTTTCCTGTATGTATTTTGGCTATCAAAATAGAATTTCTGATCCATCTGTGTCTAAATACTTTAGAAATAGCTTTTTCAATTTTGTTTGCTTCCACCGGCTTTATTTTTTCACTGTTGAACTATGAAAAGAAATTATATCATCAAAAATTTTACTCTACAAGCTGCTGATTCAACCATTTCATTATATATGAACTGAGGCTCTTTCTCAAGGGCTGTAAAATATTTACACACAAAGATACCGATGAAGAATAACATCCTTTAAACTTATAGCCACAGGATTCAATTCAAGTGAAATGGTAATACCAAATCATTAATAATAGTAACTTTAAATCTAATGTAAAATGAGCTATAGAACTGCTTTCAAGTTACCAGGAGTTACTCAAGTTATAGTATAAGCAATACATGACAGTTAGCCTATGTTAGACCCAATTAATGAAAACATTATTTTAAAAACAGATTGGCATTTAAAAATTCATGTTAGTCAGAACAATCTTATTTTAATAAGGAAAACCTGTTCTCCCAGCCTTCACAATCCCATCTTTTCTGTTGAAATTTACTGCGAAGAAACTTCAACCCAAGGTATCAGAATTATCTGGATGATTTCCATATACTGTTGAATTTTTTTCGAAATACCTTGATAGTCCATTTCATTTTAATTGTAAATTTATATTCTTAGAAAGTGTAGGCTTGCCTGGAACAGTTGCTTAGGGCTTTCAAGGGATACAACTACTAAGCCTATATTTGCTTGTGTACATTAATACTTAAGTGTGGTTTTGAAAACAGAATTATGAAATTATCCTCATAAAACAAGATTCATTGTAAAATTGCTCAAATATCCTCACTCTTATTTTTCCCCATTTTTTCTTCTTCTTTTGTTACAGCACTCACATTGAATTTTCAAGTTGCATACTTCTGAGAATCCACTTCCAAGTGGCCTGTTGTAGTTCCAATTATCTTTCATAATGCACATTTAAACCTCATAACACAATAGAGAACCTGAAAGGCAGATAATCTCTATTACCTTCTTGAAGTGTTAGATTATTTCCTTATATTTAAAAACGTATTTGTAAAAACATAGAGGAGCTAAAAGGACATGAAATTTGCAGTCAGCTGATCAGTTTTATTATCTGAACCTCAGATTCCTGAATTGTTCTGATAAGAGTATAGCCTAGGAAGGGATGAAAAAAAAATGTTTAAAATTCACATTACCATGAAATCATCTTTTCTGCCTCTTATTTTTCACTAATTTTCTATTTTTGTATTCTAAATTCCCCAACAAGATTAAATTTGTTGAGGTGTACTGCATATCACCCTTAGACTCTCCTTAGCTGTGTGAGAATATGCTCTACACTTTAAAACCTCCTTGATAAGAGTTACCTTAGTTACTTCCTGAAGTCCTCTTTGAAGGTTTTCTTTTGGTGGCTTTTTTAGAGATACAGGCACAGAAATGTTTAATCTTGCAGAAAGAAAAGGGAAGAAGGAAGGAAGGGAAAGAAGGAAGATAGCAGGGAAGGAGGAGACATAGCCAAATGACATTGCAAGCATAGATCTTGGTTTTCTAAGTGCCTACTGTGTAAGGGTGAGGACTGAGTTTGGACCCCCCAGCACCCATGCAAAAATCTGGGCATGATGGCACATACGTAGCCAAGCACTGGGGGTTGGAGAGAAGTCAGAGATTATTGACCAGCCAGCCTGGCCTACTCAATGAGCTCCATATTCAATGAGAGCCCCTGTCTCAAAAACAAGCAAACAAACAAAATAATAAAGGGGAATGAATGATCAAGGAAAACACCTGATGTTGGCCTCCATATACATGCAAGTGTACATACACACATATAACACATATCACATGCACATACATGTACATACACACACAAAGAACTACTGACTGCACAGAAACACATATGTGCATACCACCCTTACTTCTATTGATATTTATAATTTCTGATCCACATCTACTTATCTTTAAATATGTACATTTTTTTCTTTTGGCCATTTTAATTGATTTTCACTCTCATTTTAAAATTTTCGTACATTGACAGTGTATTTACATAAATACACTATATCTACATGACACCCACATCCTGTCCTCGCCCCTCTCCAACTCCTTCCACATTCTCCCAGACACCCCCTCTGTTCCTAGCTGCCATGAAAAGACTGATAGGGAACACGACTGAGCAAACGTCTTTGTGGTAGGATATGGAGTCCTTTGGCAATTTCACAAGGAATGCTACAGCTGGATTGTATGATAGATCTACTTTTACCTTTCTGATAATTCTCCACAATGATTTCCATAGTAGCTGCACCAGTTTTCACTCAAACTATTTGATCATTCAAAAAATTGTCAAATATTGACCTGCTTTTACACAGATACTGGTTTATCATCTATGGAAGGACAAATCATCTCCTCAGGAAGAGTAATTAGTTGCAAAAGAATCTATTTAGAGCTATATATTCATTCTCGCTGATGTTTTTATTGCTCAATATTAACTCATAAAATATATTTTATGAATATTTCTAAACTTGATATGAACACTATACATGATATTATATGTTATTCTGTTAACTCTATTAAAACCATACAGTTTTATACATTCAGGCATGAAAGCTTATATGTAATCTTCCTTTTAAGTGGCAATAAATTTATATTGAATGACCATTGCATTTTTGTATTGCATTATGTATTTTAGGTATTTATGTATTGAATGACCATAGCACTGTCAGCATGCCTATGGCTGTTTTATAGTAAAAGGTGTTTTTTTAGAAAAAAATACATATACACATTTTATACATTTTCAGGACTCTTCTGGGTTCTGAATTTGACCGGTTGATGATTATTAGAAAACATCCCACATATCCAGAGCAAACAAAAATACAAACTTATTAACTGGCAAATCTTGTTCTTTTGGTTGAAATTTTATGGTTTTTTTTTTCATATATTGCTTTTTTTAATCTAAAGTACATCTTAGCATGATAGCACATGCCTGTAATCCCAGCACTTAGGAGGCTGAGTTAAGAAGATCACAACTTCAAGAATAGCCTGACTATATAGGGAGAAAAATAGTCTTTAAATCTGGATCAGTTGCAATGGTTTAGAATTAGACTTGACATTAGAAGCTAGCAACTATTTCTCTAGCCCGTGTTGAAAATTCAGACTTGTTGGTTTTCAACCTGTGTCCTACAGGAATGGAACAGGGTCAGTAAGACCTGTATCTGCCCCTTTTAGAATGCGGCATGCACTCCCTACAGTGGGTACAGCCCTGTTCACTCCACTATCCTATTCTCCAAGGACTCCCTTCATCTTCCCAAGCCTTGATCAACCTAATCATTTTTGTCTGACTTGTATTTTCTCTCTTTCCTCGCCAAACTGAATATCTGACCCATTACAGCCTAATGATTCTTTTATTTTTCTTCCCTCAGGTGTTTGTATTACTTTGTTGTCTTTCATATTTTGTTACAGGATTAATCTTAGTGCAAAGGATCAAGTGTCCTTTCTAGAAGTTATAAGTTATCTGACTGTACCCTTCCACTCAGAATAGAAGTTGTCTGCATGGAAACAAATACATCTGAGCTCTACCTCTTTGCCACATAAGGAGAGTTTCAATAATTAGTAAATGTGTGAATAATTACAGATAATAAAGAAAAACAGCACATGCTAGTCCAGTCTCTCTGGAAACTTTGAAACAAGCCTCTTTAGTCACAATCCTGGAAAGTATATTTAGCATAAGAATATCATTCAGGAGACTGTTGAAATGTTCCAATTTTATTTTCTTCTCTTTTTTCTTAATCTCCTGGTGATTCCCTGATTTATTTTTTCCTCAGTCCAAATAAATAAGAGTTAAATGCTGGATCTTTACTCATCATGGATACCTATTAGCATGGATAAATTTAAATTCTGAAGAATTATTAACCATAAAAGAGAATTTTAAAGCTCACAAAAATATTAAACCATCTCTTGCTTTGGGACTATGGCAGAATAGTAATCTGCCAGCACTGCCTTTTATAATCAGTTACTTTGTGTGAAGCACAGTGTAAAATGTATAGCCTCATCATCTTCAGCCCTCCCAACTACTGTATGAAGA